TCCCATTCAGTGTTGTTGTTTTTTTTAGATGATGCCACTAAATGTAAATATAATAAATGTATTTGCCGTTCCTTCAATGTGTTATTTTGCGTTGTTTCATGATACAGAGAGAGCATTTAAAAAATAAGAGTGTTTAACCTGTTTACCTCTGAACAATTCTATATCTTCAAAAGAAAATACAGGATAAATCCACATATTTAGACTATATTTGGTTAAATTGGCACATGTTTACCTACTGTCTTAGTCACTGGTATGTTTAAATGCAAACCTTTTCAAAGTGGAAAAAAGTTCTAATTCATCATACATCAGATCCAGTGATGCTTCAAACATTGAAAAACAACATCTAATGTGTGAAGTGCTTATAAAATTAGTATAAATGTAGCAAGAAATGCTGCTTTTCGCTTTAAACGAAATGCACCCTAATGCTTACTTCAAGCATTAAAAAGGCATGCATATTTTTGCAAAGGTAAAATGACATTAATGAAACTTAGGACCAATAGTGTCCCGACCAAAGTGGAAATCAAACCTACGCCCTTGCGCTAGACAGAAACTTTTTCTTTACGCCGGTAAGACCATGGGGACGTAAAGTTAGCTAATTTTAAGTTTGTGCAAAAAGCAGATTATGTTTTATTGTGAATGGTAAACTCGCCTGTGTTGGAATACAAATTTTATTGTTCTGCACAAAAGGATGTAAGCTGATTGGACAGAATATGACAACATGGTGTCTCTTCTAATAACTGCGTTTGGATGCAAGAATGTTGTGTAGCAGCAGCACCTACTGGTGGTTAAGGTGAACTGCAGCAGATTAACTCCAGCATGAAGATGTGGTTTTTGCTAAAAAAACAACAACAAAAAAACTATTTGAAATATTATTATTATTATTGTTATAACTATCTCTTATTATAGCTATTCTAGAACATTTAATCTTTTTATTAGTGCTGTATTATTGCAGGGAGCTGAAGAGGAATCAGTGTCTGAGCAGAAACTGGATTCTAGAGGGGGGCTTTGATGTCGTGTTGCTAAGAGCAGATGTCCTGACTGTTGCTGCTTCATGGGGGTTTCTGACCTTTTAGGTCTTTGTTCTGCTAAAACACAAACTATCAGAATCCAAACATTGATCTAAGACTCTGTACAGGAATTAAATAGAAATCTAATTAAATAAAAAATAGTAAACTAACACTCTTCAGCCATGGTGGTTTCTGTCCTCTGCCTCTATTTGTCTCCTGTCTTTATGTCTGCTGTCTGTATTTCCATTAAAAATGAACATTGCTCCTCTTTGGATTATTACTTACTTGTTCAGGATGTAATTTTATCCAAATAAGACTGATTTGGATAAAAAGCTGAGGTGAAATCTGGAACATCCTTTATCATTTATCAGATTTTTTATTTTATTTTATGTACAATAATAATAAAAACAGTAATGCACAAATTTTATACAATTTTTAATGTCTGATTTGATTTGTATCATTTTTTTAATTGAAATAATTGCCTTTCCTGCATTATTATATTTTCTTTTTTTTCCCCAAAATATATTTATTCAAATTTTAACAATTTAAACAAACATCTTGAACAATATACAGAATGTAATCACAGCAATATTTACGTTACTGTTCAAGTCAAAATAAAATACAGACAACAAACTGCCTCATACAACATTTACTCCAATGCGACTGATCACATTTCATACTTAGCCTCTTGTAATGAAAATTAAAGTTGACAGTATTTGTCTTCCAATAAATTGGAACTGTGGTTCACTTGTTCTTCAATCACTTGCACTTTTTATTTATTTTTTTTAGATATTCAGAGTCTTAACATAATTAATGAAGGAGTTCCAAATAGATTCAAACAGGTCCTGTTTGTCCTTTAATAGAGACATGATTTTTCCAGAGGGAGGACAGATAACATCTGCTGCAGCCATTGGTTTATGCTCGGTCTGTGAGTCTTTTTCCAAAATATAGATATACATTTCTTTGCAATAAGCAAACTTATTACTATATTTTCTGATTAAAATTATACTTTTTGTTAATCCTAAAGAACCAGATCAAAAGTGGGTTCTCTGTACATTCATATTCCGAATCTTGTCATGTTCAATCCTCAATGGTCAGTGCTTTGATTTGCATTAGCGGCCATAGATCAATGCAGAGGAGCGTGGAGAAAGGAGCATATCAGTATTACACTGAAAAGTGTGGCATAAGATTGTGTTCAGGCCTTCTAAGGTTGAAACTCCTCTTATAAAGTTGGTTCTTTTTAGGAAATCATTTATGCTGGTTAAAATATGGTTTATTTTAACCAGCATTAGACTCACATTGTTACTCTTTATGTCAAGAGTGGCCTTAATCAGGCTAGATGATCAATTTTCAGGTTGTGCCTCTAGTTCTGAGTTGAACTGAGACTAGACTTTGATTAGGCCATTCCATCACACTAATGTGCTTTGATCTAACCTTCCGTTGTGTCTCCAGCTCTACGATTAGGACGGTTGTCCAGCAAGAAAGAGAATCTCCAACCAAGCCAGAGAAGATTTAAAGTTTTGCATTATCCCAGTGAGCCTGGGCAGACTAACTGGATTTCATATAGGTTTCTTTCAACATTCCCTCCCTAATAATAATAACTGAATAATTGAACTTTATTGATCTCACATTGGAGAAATTTACCTCTGCTTTTAATCCATCCCCTTTGGAAGCAGCGGGCTGCCATTGTGCGGTGCCCAGGGAGGAGTGTGGATTGAACTGGGTACTTGCAACGTTCTCAGAGCACAAACGCACAGCTCTAACCACTAGGCCAACATTCCCTCTCTACTAAGCAATCGTTCATAAACATCTTTTTTTAAGCACAGAATGCAGTTAGTTTATCATCTTTTAATGCTTGGATGATGGATTGAACAGATATCTTGGAGTTATTTAACCTTGGAGGATGTTTAAAAACCTAACCCTGCTCAAGTTATTTTGACTCAAATAGAAAGAGAAACACTACATTTCTTTTAACAGTGTCCTGTCTGGCGATGTGGCAATAAGAATAATTGTCTTGATGCCAAAAAGAACCCAACAGATTTTACTTTCACAAGTGGAGCAGTACAGCTATCGCTACAGCGTTCTGATTGATTTATGCAAATATATATCTTTATTATTCATGCAGGGAGTATTACAGATTATATGGACACTGCAATGTAAGTAGAACAGGAAAGGAAAAACAGAAAGAAAAGGAGAAAAGATTAAATAAAGAGAAGATAAAAGGAGCGATAAAGATAAAACATCTTCAGTCTGATTCATCAACCAACCCATACTGCATTTTAAGGCTTATTTTATTTTTTGCATCTTAAAATAAAAATCAAACAGTTACTTTTTAAATATCAGTATCTAAAAACACAAAAAACAAAAAAGCAAAACAAATTTAATAGATGCACTGACACTCTTGGATTATAGTTAGATTAATTCGAATTGAAAGATATTGATAAAAGCTTTAAGTTTTTATATTCAGTAATATATGCCAAAAAACAGTATTTTTCATTTTAAAACGTCTGAGAAGCAGTGCTTTATTATTATTCTGGGCAAACTTAATAATCATTGATCATCTTTTTTGTTAAGTTTCAGTTTCAATGTTGTGCATTTGCGCCTTTCTCTGAAAACACGTGATTTCTCCAGGCTGTTCCGTCTTAGTGTCATTCCTCCCCAACACACATATATTGTTTTTATTTAAAGATCTAAAATGCATCTTAAAAATACCATGACATGTCTCGACTAAATAAAAGTATATATTTCCTCCTAATGCATATAATACAACCAATAAAATAAAGTTTTGTGTTAAAAACTTGTTTTTAAATACTGTTATTACGGCTGCGTGTGGGAGTTGACGGAACAGCCACTTTTCCGTCTTCTGATTGGCTACAAGCAGGAAAGAGGCGGCGACCTGTTGTGGATTCCCCTTTATGATTGGCTGAGAAGTTCTCACTGTGGTGCGTCACTAGAAGAAGGTTGGGAAGCTGACAGAAGCGAGCATTTGTGGAAGGAAATCGCCATCAGGACCTTAAACCTGTTTCACAGCGAGAGTACAAACTTCTACAAAATAAAAGGCAAGTCTTATCACCTGTCTGTCATGTCATGTAAACATTTAATTCGCTACGGTTTTATTTTTATTAGCGAGGCAAATCATTCGAGTTAGCTAGTAGCTAAAGTAGTAGCTCGAGACAACTTAACGGAAGTTAAAGATGAGTTTTTATTCTTTTATTTTGTTAATTAACAATATATACTAATAATCTGCCTTATTGCTGTTAAATACTGTTTTTCATGGGCTCATATTTTCAGTTGCTGCTGACATGTAGGAGGTAAATAAAGCTTTTAGGTTAGCTTCTGATTAGCATTAAAGGGCTGTTTCACTCTTTTTAAACAACATAAACTGCTTTTTTCTGTTCACAATCTATTATTATACACTTATTATTATTATTACTATACACTTATACATGATTATTATTATTATTATACTCTCTTAATTAATTTCATATGGATTTTAAAATTTGTGGAACCTTGATTTCAGTTGTAAACATACAAAAATATCTACTATTTTTATTTTATTTTTTTTATTTGGCCTTATATATCTCTGATTGCAACTCCTGGATCCAAACCTGGATTGAAATGTTTATTTTGATATAATTATTATGATCATAGTCTCCAGTATATCAAGTATATTTAGATTATAATCCTTTATTTGTGAGATCAGTTGTGTTGTTTTAATCTGAATTAAATGTTAACATGCACACCGCTGCACCACAGCTTTAAAAAAACGATTTAATTAAACATTTGCATATCATATATTAAACATTTGTGCTTTAAAAACTCATTTAATGCAGAATAAGGCAAAATAAGTATGAGGTGCTCAGGATAGAGCAGCTCTAAGTTGCAAAAAAGGCTCGAATTTGGCCTTATTTGCAAAAATCACCAAATAGAACAACAGTTTTTAATAGTTGTTAATGTTTCAAAGATTCTGTAATCTGTTGAGCATATTCTGGTGTTTTGGATTAGAACTAGAGCTGATTAATGGTAGACCCACATCCTTTATGCTATGAACTGGCTCTTCTTACAGGAACTAGATGATAACATTAAAGCTAAGTTGTGCTGATTTATTATTAAATCAAATTTAGGAAGAATATATTTTCACTTCTTTTGTCCGTTAAACTATTTGGTTCTTCTTTATGATTTCATAAAAGGCAGATATTTGTGTAGCATTTGAAAATGTTCCCAAAAATAATCTTTAATTTAATACTAATCTATTTCTAATCTAATCTAATCTAGTAACATATTGATCCAGTGGTTCATAGGAGCATAAATACATTATGACCTTTTTTTAAGGTAATAAAATTAAGCGTAACAGAGTCTTCCTCACTAGATTATTGTGTTTGTTTTAACTTTCCGTTTCTAATGAAATCTTATCAGGGAGGAGCTTTAATTTCCTATTCTTTGCTGCCGCTCTGAGCTGATAAGAGCTGGTTTTGTTTGACTTCTATGTTTTTTGTCTAATTTTCATTTCGTTTAGATGTTTCTCAATCTGAAACAAAATGCATGAAGACCAGAATCCAGTTATAAAAGGAAGTCGTCTTGTGTTTAAAGGTTTTATTGTTATTTACATCCTTGATGGTCTCTCCAAGGAATCAATTCTACACAACATCCCATCAGTTTGATTAATTAAAGGCTTCCTGTTGATCCTTTATTATTTAGCATCACTTTGCAGGTTGTTTTTTTATTTATTTTGTTTGTTTTGCTTTTATTTAACTCAAACTGAGTCAATCTGATGCAGATGTTATTTATCACCAGCAGATGGCGCAGTGGTGCCAGCTTCAGATGCTGGAGTGTAAGTACCTGGAGCAGGTGGACCAGCTGTATGATGACTCGTTCCCCATGGACATCCGGCAGTACCTGAGCAGGTGGATCGAGAGCATCGACTGGTGAGGAACTGATAGGAGATCAGGCCTGAATCTGAGCTCATCGCTTGGTTTCTGCTTCAAGCTAATGAACTCCTTCAGTAGGAAACAAACAGGAAGAACTTCATATCTAATGAGGTTGTAGGATGGAAGATTTTCTCTTTAAATTAGGAATAACTTCCCACATTTCTGATACTTTTGACATTTATTAGAAATGTTTATCTTCCATCTGTCCTTGAATGAACCTCCTGGAGCAGACGGCTCCTTTTCTACTAAAATGAACTGAAATAATTAGATTTGACGGTTTAGAAAATGCAGAGATATTGTTCAACTCAAGTTGGGTAAAAACAAGCTGTGTTGATTCTGAATATTTTCTGTGTAATTCATTAAAAGGACGATATTCTGTATTAATGTAGGTTGAGAATAAATGGAAAAATATCTTAATTTGCACAAAATAAAAAAAATTAAAAGGGATTTTTAAACGGCTGAATGGAAGAGGAAATTAAAAGCAGCAACTTTCTCTGCTATGATGGTGCAGAAAAATGCTGAAAGAAAACAGAAAGCCTAGATGTTTAGTCTGAGCATCAGGGAGCAGTTTACTCCAAAGGTTTGAAAGAATCCAGTTAAAGAAGTTGGACTTTTTTTGTGGTAAAATGTGTGTGTTAGTGCTGACCTCAGTGAAAACCTGCCGGAAAATCCAGAGTGTGAAATTTGACTTTGTTTTTCTGTTTCTAAACCAGAAAAGTCCACAAGAGGGCGTGATTGTGGTCCTTTTCCTTGGTCACGGTTTAGCAGATCCGGACCCACCTGCTGGCTAATCTGGACCCAACCTGATTTACAACATTTATAAATAAAATAAATAAAGCCTACAGCGTCCGCTGTTCCTCCCGTCCTGCTCAAAGAGAGCATGCACGATATTATTATTATTCAAATTCAGGAGAAAACGTAGGAAAAAACGCCTACTTTAATATGACGTATTAAAAAAAAAATCCCCACCATCATCCAGCCTGCATATGTTCAGTTTTTGCCCAAATATTTTCGTTTTGTTGTGGATTTTTGTAACAAGGATAACTAGGATCATCCATCGTCAGGTTGACTAAAACACAAACCTTTGAGTATTTATTTTTTTTGGTCATCAAAGATCCACATTTAGTTTCGTCAGTCATAAAAAAAAAAAGGAGCGTTAACGGAATGATTTTACCATCGTCATCGTTGCTGCTGAAAACAGAATAAACATAAATTTTAAAGCAATTTTAGAAGGAATATATGTCAATTAGCAGGAAATGACTCCAGTGGTTTAAAGATAATGATGGCGCCTTAAAGGTTGGAGAAAAGATCAGATTTAGGTGTGATCAGTCGACCAATGAGGCGCTGACGCCGTCTGTCCTCCTCGGTCTCCTCAGGGACACGGTGGCCATGCAGGACTCGCTGGCCACCATCCGCTTCCACGACCTGCTGGCTCAGCTGGACGACCAGCACAGCCGCTTCGCTCTGGAGAGCAACTTCCTGCAGCAGCACAACTTTCGCAAGATCAAGAGGAACCTGCAGGTGGGAGCCTTCAACCGGATCCGGGTCGGGCCCGGAGCTGAACCGGTTCTAAACGGGAACGTTTTTCCTTTCTGCAGGACCGGTTCCAGGAGGACCCCGTCACCATGGCGATGATCATCTCCAGGAACCTGAAGGAGGAGCAGAAAATCCTGGCCTGCGCTAAAGAGGCGGAGGTAAAACCTGGATGTGAGCTGAGAGGAAACTCCATCTGATCTGGAAATGTTAGATCCAAACCCGGCGGCGTTGTTTCCACAGGCGGAAGGAGAAGGACCGGTGTCGGCCATGGTGGTGGAGAAGCAGAAGCTGGACAACAAAGTCAAGGATCTGAAGGATAAAGTTCAGGTTTGATGAGCAGATCAACTCTGGTTATCGGCTCTGCTGGATGTTAGCAGAACCTCACTAAGGAGGCGAGTTTCTTCTTCCAGTTCCTGGACCAGCTGCTGAAGAACTTGGAGGACCTTCAGGACGAGTACGACTTCAAGATGAACACCCTGAAGAACAGAGGTAAGGAACGGAGACCAGACGGCTGAGAACCTGGGAAAACATGGAGCTGATCCGGCTTCTTTCTGCAGAGAACGAGCTGAACGGCATCTCAGCCAAAGAGCTGGAGAAGGAGAAGTTCCACACGGCCCGGATGTGCATGGAGCTGAAGCAGAAACGCCACGTGAGCTCACAGCACGCACGAGAGGAAACCCGCTGGAAACATCTGGAAACACGAGAACCAACATGTCCTCCTGTGTCTGTGTTAAAGGACGTGGTTACCTTTCTGACGGAGCTGCTGAACCTGACCCAGAACCTGATCCAGGACCTGATCTCTGAGGAGCTGCCGGAGTGGAAGCAGCGGCAGCAGATCGCCTGCATCGGCGGCCCGCCCAACGCCTGCGTGGACCAGCTGCAGAACTGGTGAGGCTACGCTAACACGTGTTAGCTCTGACTTTAGGATTCACATTCATTCCAGTTTTTTATTTTTTTTATCTTTAATTTCCATATATTATCTTTTTTTAAATTAGATTTTAACAAACTGATTTTTTCCTTTTTTTTTTTTTTTTTTTTCTTTTTTTTTACAGATTTTTTTTTCAAAACTTTTTAATAGTTTTGTTCTTGTTTGTTTTTTACAGATTTTTTTTTATTATTATTGTATTTTTCATTTTTTTCCCTATATTTTATTTTTACCAAAAAATGTCAGTAATTTTTAAAGATTCTATTCTTTTCGCTATTTTATCTTTTTTTTTTTCATTTTATTTTTCTAAACTAGTTTTATCTCTTACAAGCTAATTTTTTAATGTTTTCTAACAGATTTTACTTTTTTAAAAAAAACGTTATTTTTTTCCACATTTTATGTTTTTAAAATAGTTTTTTGCAACTTTTTAAACTTTTTTTGTTTTTACAGATTTATTTCTTTATTTCAGGAAATTTTATTCGTATGATTTTTTTTCCCCCCATTTTTTATTTTTCCAAAATAAAAATCAGAATTTTAAAAATAATTTAATATATTTTTGATTTTTTTTTTCTTATCTTTTTTTTTTTGCATTTAGTTTTTTGTTCTAAACTTTTTTTTTTCTTCAGTTTTATCCTTTGCAAATGAATTTTAGCATCTCTCTTTGAGGTTGGCTTTTACAGATAGCATACTTTAAATAATCTTTAATGTGATCTGTAAAGGGCCAATAGAAATGCGTCTTTGCTCCTCCTTCCAGAGGAAAGCCCGCCCCCAGAGATGAAGAGAATCTTATTAGAAAAATCAGAAAAAGATGAATTCAAAAATATGAAGTTTTAATAAGGTTTGACACAATAATAAAGCACGAGGAAGCGGCAAAGTTTCATTTAAAAAAATATTGGATCAGATCTCCCCCCATAGACGGAGGCTCTGTGCTGGTTCTGTCCAAACCTCTGAAGGCTCAGAGAGGTTCTTCAGAACCAGCAGAGAAACAGGATGTTGAGAGATGCTTTAACTTCACATCCCCGTCTCCTCCTGCAGGTTCACCGCCGTAGCCGAGGCTCTGCAGCAGGTCCGACAGCACCTGAAGAAGATGCTGGAGCTGGAGCAGAAGTTCACCTATGAAAACGACCCCATCCCTCAGAAGAAGGCTCACCTGGAGAACCGGGCCCTGGAGCTCCTCAAGAACCTCCTCTCCAGGTACACACAGTTCTTCTACTTCTTCTTCTGGGATGTTTTAGCTGCTGAGCTCTGAGCTCCTCTGTGTTTGTCTGCAGCTCGTTGGTGGTGGAGCGGCAGCCCTGCATGCCCACCCACCCTCAGAGGCCACTGGTGCTGAAGACGGGGGTCCAGTTCACCGTGAAGCTGCGGTAAGAACCGGATGCTTTCAGAGCCGGTTTCACTCTGAAAGACGCTGAATGTTTGTTGCTCTCCAGGTTCCTGGTGAAGCTTCATGAGTTCAACTACCAGCTTAAAGTCAAAGCCGTGTTCGATAAGTAAGCCCCGCCCACTTAGAGACGCGTTTGACCCACTGCTTCCTTCCTGCTACAATAACTCCTGTCTTTCCTCCTCACAGGGACGTGACCGAGAAGAAAGGGTACGTCTGTGTGCTGTAGTTCTACGCTGCTGCATCCTCATAGAACCTGGATAAGTGTAGAAACGCGCAGCCTAGAATAGACTTACTGTTTGGCTACAAGCTGATAATCTCAGATTAATTTAGTTTAGATTTGGGGGAAGCAGGTAGGTTCTGCAGAGTCAGCGTTGGATAAAAATGATTCATTGAACCAAAAGTTTCTTTAGATGTTATAATCAGACTGTTTCTAACTTCCTCTAAAGGACTAATTTATAGCAAAGTTGTTTCTAGGCTGAACATGTTTTGAGAATCCAGCAGCAGGTCCATGTCTGTCCAGCTCAGAAACCTCGTTAGAGACTTCAGAGATGGATGGTTTGGGTCCTGGCTCCTAATATAGAGAAGGAGGAAGTGTCGGAACCCTGAGCAGAAAACCCAGATCTATTAGTTCTAGATTATTTAATTTATTGAGCGTTTCAGATGAATGTTTATTAAAGGAGTCCTAAGATCATCTGGTTCAGTCCGGATCGTGTCTAACTGCTGCTTGCTGCGTCTGAAACCAGGTTCAGGAAGTTCAACATCCTGGGAACCAACACCAAAGTGATGAACATGGAGGAGTCCAACGGCAGCCTGGCTGCAGAGTTCAGACATCTGGTGAGGATGTGTTCAGTTCTGACCGAGCACAACTGAATAAACTCATCTAGTATTATTTATTTAAGCTTTTTAAAAAAAAATACTTTGTTTAGTTTGAATTAAATTGATCAAAACGAGCAAATTATCTCTAAGATCCGGAGTCTGGATCAAGGAGACGGATCAGGACTGTAGGGAATAACGGATATTCTCTGAAATTATAATTTTTTTGTTTTTCAGGATTAAAAAACTAAATATATCACTTCTGCGTCAGTCCCAGGAAGTCTCCTGGCATTTAGATCCCAAACGTTTCATTTTAGACTAATTGGAAACAGCTCTGTTTTACTATTGGAAAATTTTCTTTTTTTTTCTTTCTAATTTTTGTCTTTGGAGATCCAAGTTTTTCTGCCAAATATTTGGAATTTTTGGCGTAGAAATGAACCTCCTACATTATTATTCCTACCTGCTTCAATATACTACAAACAAAGATGAAGAAACAAACAATCAGAGCAGACAAGCAGCAGGGTTGGAGGAGGTGGAGCCCCCTAGTGGTGAAGGGGTTATTACACTGAGGTTTAGAAGTTCTGCCCCTGGTTCTAAAACCAATAATTAGTTCATTTAACAGGTTTCATCCTGATTTAAAGTGTTTCTTTTTTTTTTTCTGCAGCAACTGAAGGAGCAGAAGCTGGCGGGAAACAGAACCAATGAGGTGAGCCGGGTTCTAGTTAATCTGGAGTCCCAGATATTAATTTCAGTGACTGATCCACTGGGAGGCAGATCCTCCAGTTAGACCTAGAGAGTCTTTGTAGAACCTCCACCCTTTCCTGACAGCATCGGTCCGGTCGGTTCTGGAACCGTCTCCGGTTTCATGTCCATCTTCTTTGTCTGATGTGTTTCCCTCAGGGCCCGCTCATCGTAACCGAGGAGCTCCACTCCCTCAGCTTCGAGTCGGAGCTGCACCTGAACCAGTCCGGGCTCTACATCAAACTGGAGGTGAGCTGGGCCGCCGAGGCGGCGTCCAAACACAGAATCCCACAAATTTAAGTCTATATTAGTCATTTTTTCTTAAAATGAGTGCATTTGTTCTTGGATTGAGGAGCTAAAAGAGACATTTTGCCCATGGAACGAGACAGTTTCCTGTTTAAAATAAGAAAACACAATAGCATTGCCTTATTTCAAGTGCATTTTATCTAAATATCTTATTGTAAGAGTAAAAATACTCATTTTATTGGCAAATCATCTCATTTACCTACATTTACAGACATTTGTACTTATTTCTAGATCTAGATTTCTAGATGTTTTTTCCAGTTCAGCCCAGTAGAAGTAAATCTTTCTGTTTCAGGCCATGGCTCTGCCCCTCGTCGTCATCTCCAACGTCTGCCAGCTGCCCAGCGGCTGGGCCTCCATCCTCTGGTACAACACGCTCACTACAGAACCCAAAGTGAGGCCCGCTTCTTCCTCCCCCAGCTCCCCCCCTCTGCTCTGAAGCTAACCCCCCCCCCTCTCTGATCTCCAGAACCTCAAGTTCTTCCTCTCCCCGCCGGCCGCCAAGTGGTCCCAGCTGTCCGAGATCCTCAGCTGGCAGTTCTCGTCCGTCACCAAGCGAGGCCTGAACCAGGAGCAGCTCAACATGCTGGCAGACAAGCTACTGGGTCAGAACCGCAGCACACAGACACCCTGAGAACCTTTACTGAGCGCAGAGCAGCAGGTAGATCCTGACCTCATCCATCAGCCAGTAATGACCTCAGCAGGGGGTGAAGATGGCTGAAGACCAACAGGCGTAACCTTTTAGTCCTGAAAGGGAACTTCTGCTGTTTTTAGTTCTTCTTTTATTCTCATTTCATCCAGTGTTTGACTCTAATTTAATCCAGTATTTGACTCTAATTTAATCCAGTTTTTGAATCTAATTTAACCCAGTTTTTCACTCTAATTTAATCCAGTTTTTGAATCTAATTTAACCCAGTTTTTCACTCTAATTTAATCCAGTTTTTCACTCTAATTTAACCCAGTTTTTCACTCTAAT